TTTTTAAAAAAATACTTAAAAATAAACATCGTTATAAGAAAGAAACAATATAGGTACTTTTATCCATTTAGGTCCCACTTTTTAAAATTGATCAGGATTCCTGCCCAAAAGGGCGGAACTTAACGCGCTATCGAATCTACAAGTACGATCCTGAAAACTCAAAGTCAGAAGCAGAAGCTCGAGATGATTGTGTATAAACAGAAATACCCCCACCGATTGCGCTATCTGAAGTCCCCTCGCCGGTTACAAAATCGGCGACTATCAACGAATCCTTCGGTACGTTTCCACTGCCACCTTTCAATGCATCTCGCTCGGCCAACGTCTGTTTTAAAAGTTTGATCTTCTCTTCTTTCTGGAAAGATGTTCCTTGCGATAACTAACAATTTTTAATTTAATTTTATCTTCAATACTGAAATGTTGTCTCACCGCGGCAATGAGTTTCTGAAGCTCGTCGTTCTCGCTGAGAAGCTTCTGATATTTTTCTTCGTCTTCCTTCGACATACCCACGTCCGGATTGTATTTAGATTCAGCCTTGTCTTTTGGATGCCTAATCACTTCGATTACTTTAGGCACAAAAATTAGCGCCATACTTAAAAAACAGCAGAAAATAATGGCGAGTGCAACGAAAGCGAAACTAGCGTCTTGCTGGCTGGCAATCACCATCGTCACCGGAGCTGTGATCAAACAGAGGACAACCACATTGTATATCGCCATCCCGACGTATCTAGAATCATTGATCTGTTTAACTTTGATGCTCCTTGTTTCGTACGCCCAAAATAATCCGAACACCAGAATTAGCCCTTTCCAGCTGCAAATAAAACCTGAAAGAAGGATGGAGACAATGATCTCCGCTTGGTAATCGTATTTCTACGTTGCGATGAGCTTACCGAGCCAAATGTTATTGCGTATAGTGTGTATGCTCTCACAATGTTCTAATTCGGGTCTAATTCTTGCATCGTCATCGCCAAACGGAGGTGACTCTAGTGGGAAGGTCTCTATTTTTCTTTCTAAAGGATCGAGCACTTGCCACAAGACTAATATTAATATATCCATCGCCAATAGTCCGCTTACCATCGTGTACAGCTTCCACGGTTGAATTTTCTTCTGTATGGACGAAACTTTTTGTTTAGCCATGAACAACTAAAAAGAATCAAAAATACGTTAAAGTTGAGGGTCGTACGAGCAGGATCTGCAAACCATGCAAGGACGGGCACACTGCGTGACTAGAAAATCAATTAAATCGTTAATCGGCTAATCGATCGTACGTAATTACGAGTGGATGGACTCTCTAAAGAGGACAATTTCGAATGATCGAGCGCGTTGATTTGTTCTCTTCAATACTTACTTTCGCTTGGTCGGCTTTCGTTTTTGTCGTAAGTCTGTGGACCCGCCACACTTTACTAAACATCGCGCCGAAAGCAAGAGTGAATCCTGTGGATAGCATCCAGGCCCTAGCTTGGCAGATCGCTGGATATTGCCACGGTGCAATGAATCTACCGTCGATTCCGAATAGAAACACCGACACAAAACATGCTATCACCCCGACCAGCATTATTGTATTACACACAGGATGTGACGACATTATAACTCTAGAAGGGAGAATATCAATGTTCTCAAATATTTGAAAAAGACGGAAACAGATATGGAACGAATGTATGTACCTTCTGTGCCTGTTCCATATATTAAAAATGATCAGTCCCAAAGCTATTATGATTCCCACCGAGGATATGGTCCCCATGCAAATAAACAAAGGCAACGAGACCGTGCGCAGAACAGTTCTTATGATAGTCCTATCTTGAGGTACTTTACCACCAATCCATCTTTCCATGTTTCTCCAAGTCAGATTGTCACTTTGTGTATCGTAATATCCCAACTTAACATACTTTCCATCGATCACTTGCTCGATTTGGGTCAATGCGATTCTGTCACCTTGTGAACTAAATGCAACGAAACCCTATAGCATATATACGTGATCGATTAAAGATCGGGCACTTGAAATAAGAAGCCTTAGTTTTATTTCTACGAGTCACGTACAGATACTCCTAGAAACTGAGTGGAATTGATCGCCGAGTAAATTTCGTCTGCTATCTCCTTGTCGGTGTAGGTGAAATTCTTTAGACTCTTCCCTTGCTTACTCAGCTTTTCCATTGTCTTGTTAAAAGCTGCGAGTCAAATATAAAAAAGATATAAAAAGTTACGGTAACTCAGTTCTTCTAATTGACAATACAATTCGACCTCCTACCTAATGCCACCGACCAAACAGCGTCGTATGCCAAAGGCGCCTCTTGATATCCTTCAGGGTAGCGATTGTTATCGATGTCGTATCCATCCTCCTTCAGCATTTTATTTAATCTCTGTCTGAAATCCTCGGAAGTCATTCCGCTAATTGTCGTGTCATTATTCTGATTCCACATGAGAGCTTCTGTCGTCAAGTGTCCTTCGGCAGCGAGTCTCATTTGTTCTTTCGTGCAGGTGATTCCCTCCTTGTCCAAATTCACTTCGAACCAATTATCCTCGTACCAACCGATGAAGAACCATACGTAGCTTTTACCGTACAGCTTTTGATGATACAATTCGCAAAGGACTCTTCTCGCAGCCACAACGTAAAACAAACCAACGATGATCCTAGCATCCTGGCGACGCAGATTTCTCACCGCGTCTGTCGGCTCGGACAAGAAACTCTGACGTGTGACTATTTCTATCCCTGCCTCCTTGCAACGTGCCTCTAAATCTTCTACAGTCTGTAAGTAGAAGGAGAACGGTTAAAAGTTATCTACTACGGGTGTTTGACGGTCATAATAATCTTACAGATATGAACACTTCTTCGGCTTGCTGCAAGATTGCCACTCGAGACCAACCAAATTTTTGTAACAATTTGATTCTCGTGGGATTGTGCACTGTGGCTGACGGGTGTGTTCTAAAAAGCGTCGGGAACCGATTTCGATCCGATAATGCAGGCGAAGATGCACCGTAACATAACTGAAAATCGTAAAAGTAAATTCATTTCTGTATTTGTTTATTTAACATGTTGACTGCCACACAAAATTTACGCGTTTTGTTTATAAGAATAACATATATTAAATTTTTATAAGATACTATATTGCAATAAAATACGATAGAAGCGTCTTATATTATTATCTAATTATTTATATTATTTTAAATTCCTTGTTAATGATATTCGTTTTAATTATTCTGAAATTATTTATAAAAATAGAAACGATGACTACCAATGATCATTGTAGCAGTCAACGTGTTAAAGAAGAAATTCTCGTTGACATTTACCACCACTAGATTCCACATTTTCGCTGCCTCAGCGACAGTCGTACAGACGGTACTACATCCGGCTAACAACATCAACTTGTGTGGTTTATAATATAATAAATTGTACATCACTGAGGCACCGAGTCCCGGTTCACACTGGAAAAAAGAAAAATATAATTAACTAAGAAGTAAGATGAATAGTAATCACTTTCCTATAATTTTTTTCTCAAAACTTTATCGAATATGTCGTATACCTCACTGTCATTTGAGTGAAGCTTCAGTATGAATCCAGGTAGCAAATTTTTCTCATGGTTAACATCGTCTAAAGCCAAGTTCACCGCTGGCATGCAAGCCTATTGAACGACGTACGCATTAACTTACGCAACTTTTATACATTTCAAACAATAATTATTACTCACCTGGCCACCTTGCCATCCACCTTCGCCCGCTATCGGAAAAATTCCACCGATATGCAACACATTGTCGGCGTCGTCTGGAGGTAACGAACCTCCGATCACTTTCGTTAACGTTAAAAGTATAACGAGCCCTATCATCGCTTGATAGTTGCTTATCAAATTTTGTCATTTATTCGCGCAAACAAACTTAAATTTCTTATACTTTCTGCCTGCCTTACGACACACCCCAACAGCATGACACTAAGTATCGCACTTTTCTTATGTGAATCACAGCCATTGTCGCTAATTGCTGAGCGTTTTCAAACGGGAATCACTATCTCATATCATGGACTTTGACCGTCTGAGATTTTACTGGCGGTGAACGACGCACTGGAGGGGATGATCTGATATTCTTGGTATCCTTATTGAAACGCGACATACGCGGCATTAAAACCGTATCCTCGCGTTCTTCATCGTGTTTGCCCTCGCGGGGCCCCGATGCTTCCCTCCAGCGCGATACTCCGTGAAATTTCGCGTGCGAATGAATTTATATTAAGACGGAGAGTTCGCGTGAGCTTCCTATTGATTTCATCCCGGCTTTCAAGGATCGTAGTGGGGATAGGGTGGCTCTCTGTCCTAGGCTTCTTCTAGAAAATCAATATATAAACGATTTGACCTTACGACCCGCTCGGGACCGATACTCACGTCGGAAATTGAATTTTCGAATCTCTTGTTAATTCTGACCCATTGCCATACAATTCGGTTCGTCATCGTGCAACCTGTAGTGAAGGAAGTCGTTCGCCAAACGTTCTGCCGTACAGGGATATTGTTTACCATTTGATCCGCACCATGAGTTTGATTCGTGAGTTTCATATTTGGCCCGTAATCATGAGTTTTATTCGTGATTTTCACGTTCAGCCTGAATTCCGTACTGAATTTCATTCGTTATTGTACAAGGAATTAGAAAGACTATCGATCGTTGTTCATCGAAATGATTGCGGGAGATTTCGAATTGAAGTACACATACGAACCGATGGTTCGGTCGATAAAGTCGCATTAGCTAACGGTACTGTTATGATTCTACCATGAAGCGGTCTAAACAGTTTGTATCGTCGTGACGTATGGAAGTTGATTTTCTTGACATTTTCGAAAGTTTGTCTGAAATTTGAAATAATGGCAGCCCAGCGGGCGTTGCCGCAAAGCAAAGAGGCTTTATTAAAATCGTACACAACGAGATTAAAAGAAGATGTAAAATCCATGTTGGAAAATTTCGAAGGTACGCTACCTAACCTTACTTTTGAAACGATATTTAATAACAATAACAAGAAGATAGTTTCTTAAAAGAAAAAAACTTACGTTACACTGTCAAATATAATATATATATATATATATATATACTATATTATACATATTGCTAAATAGATTTTGCTAGACGATTTGTATTATTTAGTATAGTAACAACTTAACCTACAATCTTTCCAAACTATGGAGATATTAATTCATTTTTTGTTGCTGCACAGAGATCATAAAACTAGCGAAAGGAGAAAGCGATTCCCAATTATCTCGGATGACACAATGCGAACAGGATACATACGAAATGCATGTCAGAGCCGCGAATATCGTTCGCGCGGGAGAATCTCTGATGAAGCTCGTTTCCGACATAAAGCAATATCTCATACTAAATGACTTCCCGTCAGTAAACGAAGCCATAGCACAGAATAGCAAGTTGTTTAGAACGAAACAAGCCGAGTGCGATCAAAAATTAGCATCCTTGCGAGACGACATGGCTGCCGATTTGTACGATTTAGAAGAGGAATATTATACATCGATATACAAATAACACGGACTTTAGACTTTTTTATGAACGTGCAATCGTGTGTTTGCCTGAAACGTGGATTAACTGAAATGTAATTTATTTGTTCAATAAATTGTATATATATTTATTTAAATAAATAAGAATAGTTTTGATAGTACATTCCTACTTCTTAATTGGGGGCCTGCACGAGAGACACACGGAAAAAGATAGGCTTGATAATATGATAATAATTCGGGCATACTTGTTTCATTTTATTACTTGAATACCTTAGTAACACACAGACGATACATCACACAATACTTCTAACTGGTAAGTATACTCAATAAGGAAATTGTGGATTTAAGCTTCAGATAATAATAACAATAGTAAGAATAATAAGAATAATCATAAGAAGAATAAGAATAATAAGAATAATTTTAGGATAATACTATTTCCTTTTTTAATCCTTTACTTGAACGGCGGTGCCTTTCCATACTGTACAGCGATAATTTACAGAAATAATACGGAGTTCCCTCGGCCGGAGTAGCGAGATTACATGGATACACAAATGATCGTTAGATACAAAAGTTTCGTTAAAAATTCGTGACAAAATTTGGAATGTTTCATTCATTGTAATCTCGTTTTCACTCCAGTTACGTAGTACTGTGAAAATACAAACTGAGCGGTCGACACACGGTACTGGTTCCTTATTAATATTCGGAAGCAATAATATATCAGGGAAAAATAACAAAAATATCACAGTGTAAAATGCAACGCTGTGACACAGACCCATCAAGCATAGATCAAACGATAACGTGAAATCTGATGAAAAGAAAAAAAGCGTTACGTTGCGAAGTACGCAAGAGCAATTGAAATATTAGCATTTACTACACAACTAATACAACGACGGAAATTGGTACACAATTGTTACTTCAGCGTATAAATGCATCATTATCGGCAATTATTATCATATCGCACGTTTACCCTTGAATCAATCCGCGATCACGCGATTAAATCTTAATCGAAAGTTAATCATACTGCCGCAATCACACTTCGAACATTTACGCGATCGAACATAAAACATTTTTAATTTCTCGACGTTCGTGTTATCACTTCAAACGTAATACGGACAACAGAAAAGAAACAGAAAAAGTACACGAAATAAATCGATCTCAAAGTAATTTAATTAATTATTGTTCCGTACGTAAACTTCACGAAACTTTGAGATCGATAATAATTTAATATGTACAAAATTTGATTCGCTTAAAATTAAAATTCATATTATTAACAAATCCGATGCCTATATTAAACATACAGATGTTGGATTAATTAACGAGATGAAACACAAAACGTGTTCGTGTGTTCGCAGGCTGCTTTAGAGATAAACGCGATAAATGGCAATGCAACAGTGGGAGTTGCATTCTTATTTACTCGTGCGTATTTTTGAAAATTTGAGAAGACCTGTTCGTAACTTATCTCTCGCGTTAGATAGATTTCGCG